AGATAGATAGATAGATAGATAGATAGATAGATAGATAGATAGATAGATAGATAGATAGATAGATAGATAGATAGATAGATAGATAGAGAGGGAGAGAAACTGCATGTAAACACATATAAAATAATGAAATTCTGATACATAAATACATACATTACCATTAAACTATTTTCTTTTGTGGCAACCAGTGTTACACAAGATACAGAAAATAAGTAATAAAAAATCAAGAGTGAAGAAAAAAAATTCTAACTAAATCTAGTTTGCAGAAACACAAATTATTATACATGTTCATGTCTTTTTGTCATAGATAGATTTATATATTGCCTTTTGGTATTAAACTTCTCACTGCAATTTCCACTGCAGTTAGCATAATATCATGATTGATCTACCCTTGCCAATTCTCACTTCCATATAAAAAAGCAAAGAGAAATATGCTCTTTTCATAGCTATTTCCCATTCTTCTGATAGGCATTTATTCCTTGCAACAGATGTCATTATCTAGTATTTTTTCTAACATTTACAAAGTATTTTATAAGAAAACATTACTAGAATAAATAAAAATGAAATGAACATTTACCACTTGATCCAGCTATTGAAAGATGTTCTAAAAATGGAAGTACTGAGGTTGACATTTGAGGCGTTGTTATCAGAGAAGATGCTTGAAGCTGCAGTACAAAAGCAAAATGTAATCTTCTTTAATTCAGGAATATATTACTCCTTTAGCCAATATAAACATTTTCCTATTTTTCTGGTTATTCAAAGTCAGTAAGCTATAACAAGATCAATAATAATAGTAAATATCAAAATATCAAAGTACAACAGCTAATTAAAAATGAGACAAGACTTACAAATCTCCTCTTTTTAAAAAAATGTGATGCTAACAATAATGCCAACCAGGGAGTAAATATAATGAAAAATAACTAAACAAAACAATACAAGAGTTGCTATTTAGCAGAAATTTATTACGTAGGAACAAAAAATACTTGAGGAACAATGTTATTGTTTCTTTGAATTTAAGTAATTGTTTTAAGTAAAACAATTGCTTAAATATATCTTCTATCTGCTCTCAGATATTAAGAATAGATGAAAGTGCTTCAGTTATAGCGAGTAAGCAGATCTGTACAGAAGGTAGGCCTTCAGTTTCTCCTAATTTTAGATGACCTAGCTACTCTTTGAACTGAACTCAGAAACAAAGCAAAACCCAGCACTGTTTCTCAAAGTAGGAATTCCATGCTTCCATATCATGCAAATTTAATTTAAACTGTATTATGTACCAGATCAATTTTTCAATGTTTCACAAAATTGACCATATAGTAGGAAGACAGTCATTGGGTTATGATGGTAATTGGAAACAGAATTTCTCTAAGTGATGCAGTTGTGCATGTCACAATGTATCATTTAAATGATGGCAATCAAGGTAGTCCTAGTTGCCATTGTTAACCGAAGACCTGGCTTGGTCCTTCCCAAGTCTCAACAAGGTAAGCGACTGCCTCTTCTTCAATTCTTCCCATTCGCTTATCTAGCCCTCGTCTCTGCCCTTTCAGTTACCCTGTACTCTACTGCCTCTGTAACCCTGTGCTCTGCTGGTTCTGCTATCCTACACTCCTCTGGCCCTGCTATCTTGCACTTGTTATCCTTGGCACTGTCAAAACCAATTAACTATACATCAAGCAAGATGATAAAGCTAGCTGGACAGCAGGGCCAAGGTCAATAGAGTGACAGAGCTTCAGAATGCAAGGCAACCAAAAGGACAGAGATGGGGTGGGGGGTGGGAAATGATGACAGCAACCAGGCAGTTGTAGTGCAGGCTGACAAACACCTGATTTTTTATTATGTGACTGCATGAATATTGCAACAGCCATAACTTCAGGGACCAGATATTAACTACCATTTGTTCAGCATAGCCGTAACTCCAAATTGTTTTTAAACAAGGGTTACCTACAATCCAACAGTCTGAATATAACTTGTCTAACAGCTAAAACTGGTGGCTTGCCTACTAGCCAAAATTGCTGGCCAGTACCTGAAAAATCAAAGTTAAATCCAGATCCAAAAACATCTGTACACATCAAATCTGCAGCTTCTGAGTAAGTTCTAATAAAAATGAATTCCTGGTTCATTTCAATAATGGACTATCTAGCCTTTTCTAAATTAGGTTTTGATTTGTTTGCCCATTACAATTCAAAAACTAACTTGAGATTAATATTTTCTTGGCTGTGATGGAAAGACAGAATTAGAAATTCTTTCTCATTGAGTCAACAGTCCACATGATAGTATGAATTATCAGAATAAAAATAAACCATGTACTCTCAAGCTTCTTTCTCACATCACGGATCTAATTTTAGTGCTCTTCTGCTCTTGTTCTTGAAACTACAAGAAATGTACCTTAATGTAGTTTACATGGATATGACATGGAAGATTCATTAAGAAGATCACTTTCATGACAAATTCACCATAGCAGCAAGACAGTAAGAGATTGAAACAATTTCTAAAAACTTGTAATTTTTCCTAATTGCTATCACAATACACTTTTCTATACTGGCAAATTATCACAGAAAAAAAGAAAATAAAGGCCTTAACTAAATATTTGTTTATATGACTTCTGCTAATTATTTCCTTTGTACAAAATAAGAAAATATCACATCAATCAAATACTTCATTGTGATTAAATTGGCCAAGAATCTTTTGTGTTATAAATGAACATTTAAACTTGCCTTGGGAGGTTGTAGAACAGCTGTGGAGTCAGGTGAATGTTTTGGTTTTGGAATGCTGTCAATAAGTTCCAGAATAGATTTTAATTTCTCATCTGAGATATTGAAAGAAAGTAATGGCAGCTCACCATACATTTTGTACCTAAAAAAGAAATAACCATTAGAAAAACAAATCCAGCCAGAATTTGTGCAGCTTAAAATCAAAACAAATAAAAATAACAACAAAAAGCATCATTTTAAAAACAAAAGAAATAAAACCATATAAAAACCATCATAAAATACACACAACTCACAGCCCACAAATCCATTTATCAAAACAATCAGTATAGCCACTGCACCAGTTCCACCACATTCCCTTGTCTCCACGCCCATTGGCAAAACCATGTCTTCAGTGTGTTATCCAGCTTTAGGATAAACTTGGGATATAAATGATAGTCCTATTACAGATAGGCAACCGCCTTCTTGGAATAGGAAACAAAATAAGTAAGTACTTTTCACAATGTACAACAGAGATTATTTCACATTTGTAAATACAGATAATCCTTGACTTGTAACAGTTCATTTATTGACTGCTCAAAGTTGCAACAGCATTGAAAAGTTTTTCATCCTTACAGCACCTCCATAGTTATGTGATAAAAATTCAGATGCTTGACAACTGACTCATATTTATGACAGTTGCAATGTCCCTCAGTCATGTGATCACCTTTTGTGATTTTTGACAAGCAGTCAATGGGGAAGCCACATTCATTCAAAACCATGTTATTAACAGATGCACTGATTCACTTAACAACTGTGGCAAGAAAGATTGTAAAATGGGGCAAACTCACTTAACTATCCTGCTTAATAATAGAAATTTTGGGCTCAATTGTGGTCATAAGTTGAAGACTACCTGTAATCATGAGTATGAGAGAGTGAATTCAGTGGATGATACTAAGTTAATGAAAAGAAAAACTTCGGGTATCCCCAAGTTCTATAAAAGTTGCAAATGCATTATATATCCATACATCTTTATAAACTAACAACACAACAGGATATTAAACAGAATTGGTATACTACAAATTAATACTAGTCACTTTTTAATCATCTCTATTATGAAAGAAACAAATGAAATATATTTCTGTCTCAACTCAAAAGTTGCCCATCCAATTTTTGGATTATCCAACACGCATGGTTATTACCATGATTCAGTGGTCTTAAATGTAAACTAAAGTGCTAAATTACTAGTCTATAGTATTCCAGATCTGCTACTGTAAAGAAATGGCCTCTCTCTTAAATTTACACATCGCTTTGAAAACCTGGCTTTGGTTTATTTATTATTATGGCTTGGTCACACAGTTAGCAAGATGTTTAGACAGGATTTGGCATTTTTGTCCACCTATTGAATTCTTCCCAAGGACCTTAGAAAGACAGATGCTGTTCTTTGATGATGTTATTGTTATGTTTATTATTTAATAAATGTCCCTGTTTTGTTTTGTGGATATTTTTCTTTATGAGTTTATTTAATCTGGGCTGTGTATCTGATCTGAACTTTTAAGCTGTTTTTTTTCATGTTTTGTATACCAATCAGAATCCATTGAATTGAGGGGTGATTTAATGAATGATTGAACACTTCTCTATGAAGTGGAAATCATTTACCAAGGTAACCATAAAAACAATCCAATACCCAGGCATGAGATAGATATAATCCATGCCATAAACAAATGTGGGGAGGAAGAAAATACAGTGGGTAGCTTTAACTGCTTATAACAATAGAAAGCTGGAGAGAAATGAAAAAAAAAATATTCGAAAGGAAAATCAGGAGTAATACTAAATACCATAAAATAATGCAGCACTTTTTCTAAAACTCTGAATTACTGGTGTGAGCATATATTCCAAAGCAAGACATAAATTTGAAGGTCATTTCTAATAGTCACCAAAACTAAGCTTTAAATAAGCTTTTATGGGACAAGACTTTGATCTCAATGCAGCAGGGGTATGTTCCAGCTGCTGCTATTGCCAGTTTGCTCAGAGATGCGCCGAGCACACATGCATTTGGCATTTGATGTGCATGCATGCGCAGTGTAACAAAAATTGCTCTGCGCATGCGGCAAAAACAAAATGGTGCCGCCTCTGGCGCTGAGAGAACCAGTTTGGGGGCGTGGCAGGCCTGGGTCACTGCTGGTTCCAGCAACCCAGGTCACCAATTTACTACAGGTTCAACTGAATTAGTCCGAATTGGTAGGAACCCATCTCTGCAATACAGGTAGTCCTTGACTTACAATAATTTATTTAGTGATGGTTTAAAGTTATAATGGCACTGAAAAAAGTGACCTATGGCTGTTTTTCATACTTAAGATGGTTGCACCACCAATTTAGAGCATATCAAATTTTTCAACTTTCAATTTCCAAATATTAGGGGTCCTCAAAAGTTGTGATATGCCTTGGGGATTGTAAAGATATTTTGTTAATTTAATATAATTTAGATATGCTTGGTAAGTAACTACACAAATATCATAACTTTTTAACATTTTATTTGTTTCATTCTCCATGGTCACATGAAAAAATTTGGATGCTTGGTAACTGGTTCATACTTATCACGGTTGCAGAGTCCCGGGGTCAGATGATCATCTTTTGCAATCTTCTGACAAGCGAAGTCAACACGGAATCCAGATTCACATGATAACCATGTTCTTTAACAACTATCATGACTCACTTAACAAATGTGGCAAGAAAGGTCATAAAATGAGACAAAATTCACTTAATAAATGTCTCATTTAGGAACAGAAATTTTGGGCTCAGTTGGGATCAAGTAAAGGGCTATCTGAAGATGATTTATATGGCAATAAAATGATGTTACCATGAAATAGCTACCCCCGAGTAAACTAAAAAACTAATCTAGGAAGTTGGTCTATTTCCAGATTTGATTACTGGGTTCAATATTCTGCTATTTTGGGGTACCAAGTAGTCAATTTAAAGCCATGTCTATTGGATTTGCTGGTAGAAGGTCAACAGATATTGAAGAAGTATATAATCATAGTCTCCATCAAATGAACAATATATATAGTAACAGTAATAATAGTAATAAAATAGTTATAATTGATGCAATAATACTTGGGCATTCTTGCATCTGTTACAACCATTGCTCTGTTCAATTCCATTTTCACATCCAGAGGTTGCAAGATATGTTGAGATGACGACTGTAATCTACGAGCATCCTCCCACTTTTCATCTAGAAATGAAAAAATATTTCTTGTAAGAAACTTCAAAAACAATAATATTACAGTTCAATAGATGCTTTTGAAGTGTTTTTCATCAATTTTAAGAAGCTTGGTTACATCATTGCTGATGCTAATTTAAAGCTACAAAGAGAAACTTTATACTAATTTTAGTATCATCTTTCAATAGATAGAAGAGGAATGACAGGGTTTGTTGGAGCTTTTAAAAATCAAGGTGACTAGTTCCCCTTATTTCTCACTTGCTCTGGAATAGTCCTGTGATTCCTATGAACTAGTTTGGGGGTAGAGTGCCTTCACTGCAACTCTCATACTCTGTAGGTAAACTATGCCCAGAAAAACTCTATCACTCCTCGGTATCCTAAACTGCCTGGGTGAGCCATGATAAGCTGCCTTGCTTTGTTGTTGTTGTTGTTGTTGTTGTTTTACCAGAGCTCCCAGCCTAGCTTCTTGATGTATTGACCGAGACTTCCTGTTTCTCCAGTTAGTATTCTAATAATGGAGGAGATTCAGCTCAGATGCCTGCAGCATTCTAAAAAGTATTAAGTGCTTCTATCTGCACTGCCTTTCTTGGCTTCTATGATGATCCTGTATCCTGCTGCTTGCTTCCCCTGCTATGCTCCAGGCCTTAGAGGATATCCATATTTTGAAGTAGAAGAATAGTGTCTGATTCTTTTCTACCGAGAGATATTTTGAAATCTGCAAAATACATTGCAATAAATAAATTGCAATTTGTTTCTATCGACTGCTGGTTAGCAGAGTTCATCACATTTGCTCTTATGCAACTTCTGTTATTGGCTATGAATTCTCTAAAACTTGATTTCTTCAAAGCTAGCAAAAGATATTTTTTTGGTTGCTATTCTTAGCAACAATGAAACAACACTCACTGTTGGAATTGGTACAGTAGTCACTGAACCACTATGCCCAACTACATAACATACTCTTATTACAGAGCAAATTGGCAGACAGAGCTGGGACAAATGGTTTCCCCCTCTTCTGTAAAGTTTCTCTGAAGCAGGTTATTGATGGTGGTTCTTCCATTTTTAAAACCATGCTCATCTTCTTCCAATTCAGTTTTCCTCAATACGTGTTCAGCATAGAAGATAAATAATGGAAGAGTATGCATCTTCTCTCATTTTTTGCCAGTCTGTTTTTCTGTGCACTGTTTGAATTATGGCTTTCTAATCTGGGAATACGTTTTGCATGAAGACAATGAAATGTTCTGGGATTCCCATGTTTTTAAGAACATTCTACAGTCTTAATATGATTGACACAATAAGTGGCCTAATATTATGAACTAACCTAGATAAATTTGACTCTTATTTTGTAAAGAGAAAACTATGTTTAGCTGAGCCTTAATGAGATGATTCTCATTAAAAGTGATAACTTGCTCAAGATGAAAGAAGCCATAGGGAAGGGAAATTTACATAGTACATTAAACAAGGATATTCCAAGTTATTCCTTAAAAATCAACAAAATTTAATACTTACCATGTCTGCTATAAAGTAGCTGTATACTACTGAGTTGAATGTCAAACCTTTCATATGCTCTTGACATAATATCTTCAAGAGCACTTTCGCCAACTTTGATATCTGACAAGGTGGACCGACATTTACTACTCATCTTAAAAAAAAGATAACAATAGAAATAGTCAATACATACTTCAAGAATAGATTACAAATAAACCTAAGGGCTCTGTACAAATCAATCAGAGAACACCCTGAGCTACACTGCATCGAGCATTGTTCTCTATATCGAGCAAAATCATGAATGTTACCCGCTCCACCTCATCTTGCACCTCTTGCCTCCTTCAGCATTTCTCATTCTATTAATGTTTTGTCCCTCACCCTATAGCCCAAAGTGACATTATTATTGTTTTTTCTACAGGTTAAGGTCGATCAGCTTGGTAGATTGGACTGAATCCTTGGCCCAAGGTTTCCAATTTCCATAATACTGAATTTTGAAAATATCGCCTAATACTGTTAAGTCTTAGTCAATATTGCCTAATACTGTTAAGTCTTCAAATTATATCATCACATGTATATTTTCAAAACTGTGGAAATTAATGTACATGATTTAACTGAATTATATAATATTCTCTCTGTGTGTAAAAATATCTTCTAAATCAAATTTGATTCCTGGTTAATTCAAGAAAGATCCATTTTCATGGCAACTATATGGAAATGGTTTGGTCTGCCCTCTGTCCTCACTGCCTAGTTTATTCCCATCATCCTATTCCCAAATCTCCAACCAGACAGTACCCAGATTAAATGTGATAAATGAACTCTGTTAAACTCAGATAAGGTCAGCCAATAATTATAAAACGAATAACATAAACATAGAATATAAGCATCTTTTTTTGGAATTTGAAGGGGTTACCTTTAAATGACCTAGATCCAAAAGTAGCTTATTTGATGTAGCTTCGTAAAATCCATTTTGTGGAACAATGACATAGGAAGACATAAGATTTATTTTTAAATCTAAGACCTTCTGGGTTTCTATAACATACACTAATCCTAGACAAAAAAGTAAAAAAAAATGTATTAGTAATTGGGCTAGATCCAGCTCCTCACACTATGATAGCTGTTACAATGTGTATTCAGTGTGTGTCCGTCCGTGTGTGTAAATAAATAATTTACCGGTAGCTGTCTTGTCACGAAATTCTTCCAATTTTGTTAAGGTTGCTGAAGTTATTTGCTCTAAATGAACATCACTTGGGGGTCGGAAGAAATCAATTAAACTATTCACGGTCATCTGATAAGTATATAAAAGGACAATGATGTATATTCTGAATGTAGAAGGTGGGTCATTTTAAAACTTAATTTGTAGAATAGACATTTTCTACTTACAGCATCATATATTATTTCCAAAGGCTGTGACTCTATTATTAGTCTCTGATTGCAAGTATCATCTAAGGGATTGGTTTCAAACATTATTGTGAAAAGTGATGCATTGTGCTGTGAATGGACTGTGTGAGAGGACAGCAAACAGGGTACTGTTTTTTTCTGAGCCATGCCCTGAACTTCAAATGCACTTACGCTTGATTCAAATCTGAAAAATAGAACCAAAGGACATACATGCATAAGGGCACAAATACACAAATGCATTTAATGTACACAACACACACACACACATACAAAAGGAGTTACTACAGAGTTTTTGCTCCATGCTCTCTCATAATGTAATAATCAGACAATTACAATGGAAAATGAAGGCTTTTGACTTTTTTGCCAATTACATTTTTCTCACATCGCTGAATAGGATCAAAGGACAAAAAATTCCATTTACACAAAAAAGAGGTCTTTACTTAATTGCTGCATTTATATCTTGCTTTTCTTCTAAGAGATCAAGGCTGAATGGTCCCTCCTCTAAATATTTTTCATCAGAATAACTTTCAAAGTACCTAATTCCCTGACCAAAATCCAACACTAGAACTACTACGTATAACGCCATACTAACCCTTGGGTAGTTTCTTTAGACATAGATCAAATATCAAATAACAATAACATATTTTGTATGTCTTTTTTTTGTATCTTCTTAAATTTTTTGTAATGCCCTCAAAATATTATCTTCCATAAAATATGTTTCAAGGTTCTTCATGTGAGGAGGAAAAACAAACCTGGAAAAAAGCTATCAAAGAGCACAAAACCAAAAGGAAAACCAAGGGGACAGGATACAGAAATTCACACATGGCCACTCATCCAGAGAAAAGCTCCAACTATTTAATCTCTATTTCTATTTACCTACCTATAACAAATGCCTACCTTATTGCTTCAGCACCAGGGCGTTGTGCTACTGTTGTACGCAGATCAATTAATGCAAGTTTTATCAGCTCAGGCTTCTCCTTGTTTTCCCTGATTAGCACTGACATGCTTATTAATTTTACATAAAGCTTCATAGCTTCATACTATGCAAATTAACAAAAAAATATCATTAACTGAAGAACATTTTAACCAAACATTATTAATGATTACATCTGAAATTCAGAAAATTAATCATTATGTATGAAATTCAAAGTAGTGAACTGGACTGAACACACAACACCAAATTTAGAAAAATGCCTTCTATGGAATGTTTTCTAAGTTAATTATTTAAAATAATTTTAAAAATTAATAATTCTAATAATTTAACTTTAAATAATTAAAAGATCACTCAGAATATTCTGAATGGTCTATCATGAGGGGACAACACAAATAATCCCTCTCTTCCTCAAAGAAGATTCTCCCTTACTCTAATGGAAATTAAGCTTAGTTAAGGACCAATTAATATTTAATGTCTGCACCAATTAATATTTAAAGTTTTAGGAAATGGATTTAGGACAAAGGCCTGCGGGCCCATAGTTCTCATGTGTCCTATCCCAACTACAAAAGTCTGGTTCATTTACGCTTCAATATGTAAGCAAGCAAGCAATCCAGCAAAGAAACAAACAAATTATTTAATTCTTAGGTCTATGTATTAATTTGTACTCTAGATATAATTGTTCATTATAAGATACCATTGCTTTTAAAAGTCCAATGTTTGCTGATCTATCCTACCCAAATCATACCCACCGTTTTTGGCAATGTTGGATCGACAGCAGTTTCACTATATCCAATTGCTGCATAGAGTTTATCTTTTTCTTGTGGAGTCATGAACTGTTCAATACCTGCAATAGCAAATTTTACTACATTCAATAAAAACAAGCATGTTTTTCATATGGAAGCATTCTATACCAAACACACTGCATAAAAAGTTCCAATATTTTTTTTTACAATTACAGCTTTGTTAAATGCTTAAATCTACTCCATTAGTGGAAGCAACTTTACCGATTCTAATAGCTAAAGGTACTATTTGATGTTTAATCCTAGTGAAAGCTCATTCCAGCACTATGCAAATTGTTCGATCAAAACTGCCATCTTTATACCTTTTGGTTCTTGTTTTGTTTCACTGCTCTTTCCTCCAGACCATCCCCACATCCAACTAAACCAGCCACCAGAGTTTTCATCATCTTGTTTAGCACCTGGTTTGAAAATCTTTAATCCAGCTTTAATAGCCTATTATGCAAAACAAAGCAGACATTAACATTGCTAATTGTATAACATCAAATAATTTATTTATTTTATCAGTTATAAAGAAAACCTAGCAAGGTGCCTGAAGAAATGCAACCTAATCTGAGCATCTCTTTGAAATGGGTAAATCTGAAGCAGTAGCAGTGTTTTCATCATATAAATTCATACTACTAAAAAGTAGCAACTGCTATTTTAACTCTGTGCATAAGATTAAATAACTCTCATTTTGGAGCTTCATCTTTGAAAAGTATTATCCCATAATTGACAATCCTTTTCAAGTTACCGTTATATTGCCAGAACCAAATTAAAATATCTGCAATGGACAGATGACTTGCCAGCTCCTATAACCCAGGAAATCAGGAATCTTCTCTCATCCTTCAGGCTTCCCCCACTCCTTCTTAGAAACCCAGCTTCCTCCCTCTTTCTTAGAAATCTAGCTCAACAAACTCTGTGGAGCAGAGAAATAGGAAATCCAGGAAAGCCAGCTGGGTCCCTTGCCATCACCACTAATCTCTTTCAGAAAACATGTACCGCCTAATTGCAGATATTGTCATCCAGATCTTGCAGTTCTTAACACCTTATCAGCAAAGGTAAAAAGCTCAGGAACTTTTTATAATGCACAATAATTAAATTGAGGTGGTCACAAAAGGTGATCACATGACCCAGGACATTGCAACTGTCATAAATCTGAGTCACTTGCCAAGTATCTGAATTTTTAGCAGGTTGTGGAAAATACGGCCATGTTCATAAGCGTGAAAAAGATCATAAGTCACTTTTTTCAGTGCTATTGTAAGTTTGAATAGTCATTAAATGAATGGTTGTAAATAGAGGACTACCTGTATTAATTTCATAATCCGGATGGTTTTCATTATACTTATAATCTACATTATAAATGCTAAAATAAAGACACTTGTATAGTGTAGTTTAGAAGACATTTACCTCAAATTCTGCCTGTTGTCTTGCTAGAGTGATGTTGAATATATCTAAAGTCTTCTCTAGATCCTATAAAGAAAAGTACATTACATACAATTTATTTATTTAAATATATTTCTACAGTTTCCATCACTAAATAATATGGTTGTAAGGTGTAATGTCATGTGACTTCACTGCATATAGGTGGCAGTCTTGGTTGTTATTATTAAGTGAGGACTCATGGGTCATTATGTAATGACTTCACATGACCATAACTTCCAAGTTCCTGCCAATGACTTTGCTTGTAGGAAACTAATAGGGAATGGCTTGTTGCAATATTGTAATCATGAGCTATGTGCCAAGTCACAATTGTGTGGCTGAAGGCATACTGCAAAGGCCAAAAGCCAAAACTCCAAGACTAGTTATAAGTCCCCTTGTTGTTCCAAAAGTGCTTTTTCAAGAGGCAACAATCCTTCCAACAGTTCCAAGAAGGCTCCACACCCATTTGCACTACTCAGGGAACTCTGAGAAGACAGAAAAACCTCCAAGTGGCTTCAATGACACTCTAAAAGAATGCAAAGGAATATCAATCCTCACCAATCAGTCCGAGTTGAAGGAGCTTCTTGGATGAGAAGCAAAACATCTTCAAAGAAAAACCAGAAAGGTCAGTTGCCTCTTGAAAAAGCACCCTTGGGTGAACTATGACCTGGATGACTGAGAATCTCTATAGACAAGTCCCCTTGTTTTGCATGGTTGCGGGTTTGAGTAATCACTGAACAAATGAACATAAACTACCTGTAGTACCATTTTTAACAATCAAAGATTCATAAGTTGCTATAGCATATCCTTACTCTAAATCAAGTACTATTATTCCAGATTTCCACCTACAGCAGAAATCTTGGCATCAAATTTTATACCCCTCAGAGAGGGTTCGCAACTTGGGAGTCCTCCTGGATCCACAGCTGACTTTCGACCACCATCTG